ACTACTGGAGCAATCATCTGGCTTTTGGACACACGATAGGATCAGATGTAATGGTCAGAATAGATTCGAAAAGATCTTGACTGATTTGCATTTTCCCGACAATACGGGTTATAATAGAAGTGACAGATTATTCAAGATAAGCTCTGCTAGCAATCGTTGATAGGAATTCTATGGGTCTATACAAATATGACAAAGATACACGAGGATTCGATAACACTATTCAGAGGAAGAATTACATTCCATCATTAGAAGTCTCGCAAAAGATGCAAATACGGGAAGCTGTTTAAACTGTGCAGTGGAGGAGAGACATACCAACAATACGATGATGATAACATAATATAAATATAATATTAATGACAACAATGTAATAATAGTGACGATAATATAAATAATAATAAACAATTATAGTTACATAATTCTATAATTATTACTATTAGTACAACATATTGATAATAATATATAATATAATGTACATATATGCTACTATATAGTGATATAATACTATATTACATATTCATCCCAATGGTTTACCGTCTCATAGCGGATGGGAGGTGTTCCTGGATGTCAGGCTGCGATGTTCAGCGGTGGGATTCGTCCCCTTCTCCTAAGCTGAGTCCGGCGTTTCCATCAGAAAGCCTAGCTAAGAGTAAACCAATACCAAGATCCACCACCGTCCTGGTATCAAACTAGTCGCATGGTGGCAAATCTCCCTCTGATCCACAAGAGCTGTGACTGCTTGTGGTGCTGACCACTTGTGGCAGATTTTGGCTAGGATAACCTCGGGAATTCAGGGAACCACAATAGCTAAACTAGCGAAACTCCAGAAAATGGAAATTATGCTGGGTCCACATAGCCGGTAAAAGCGGACCATCCAAGTATTCTATATATTAACATTAATGATACTCGTATGAAGTGCTGAGATAGATATGACCCGGATGGTGTAGTGGTGAAGTGCGCTGCTCCCCGGTTAGGACAACAGCGCGTGTTCGTTCCCCACTGCATACACCTGTGGTCCGGAGTTTTGCAGATATCTCAGCACTTCATACGAGTTATATTTCACAACATACCCTGCCATTAAGAAAAAGGCAATAAATAAAAGAGTTAAGATTAATGATACTATTGTACTAATGTGTAATGAATATATTGTAATAATGTATAATAAATACTGAACGTTCAACATCAAGTATTTGATGGAACAGAAGAAACCACCAACTTCTTTCTCAATTCCATTTTAATCTGTATAAAACAGTGTCGTTTAGTCCACCCTCTTTGTATTATAATTATTTACCTTTGCTTTGACTGGAACAGGCAATTCTTAGGAAAGATTTTATCCTTCCATTTTTAAACTGATTAAGCACATTTTAACATTTAGGGTAGGATGCCCAATTTTATGACTTCCTCATCTGAAAGATAACGTTAATTTTGCATCGCAGTCGCTGTGAATTGAAACTAACCTCTGGCAAGCACAAACTATCTAGCCGGCAGTGCACCATCTTCAGTATCACACACTGCATATTTCCGTAAATAACACCAGGCGCTTAAAACAGCCGGTTAGGAGCAATTAAATCTCAGATTTTACTGCAACTAGATCAAACGAACACTTTCACGATAGTGGAGAGAGCTTCATGATCTGAATTTATACAACTAGGACATATTGCTCAGACTTCACTCTTCACACCGTCCTCGCTGGTCACATCAAATTTCATATGATCGCCTTAAAAGAGAAATGCAGAAGGATCGAAATAAGACAATTAAAGGCTGAACCTTGATCATTCTTGAAAACAATATCCCATCCCAAAACATCTCTGTTGTTGGCGCATTCGTGGTCTTCTCCATTACCCATGTTGTCGAATCATACGAGATCTTTTTCTTTTTTTTTCGTTTGGCCACCCACCGTCTTCAACCCACGCGCAGTCATAAGAGTGGCATAATGAACTGCTACTATCCTATGGATTCATCTAATGAACACAAATTATAAGTTTTCTATTATCAGTTGGAGGAAGTAGACCGCAGCGATAAGACTTACACACTTGTTGTTTGAGACTTCAACACCAGAAAAGGAAAGGCCATCGGAAACAATTACAGTATCAGAAAAATTCGAATAGGACAACAAAGTAAGCAGTGCAACCGGCATGCTGTCCACAGTACGCTTCCTCCATGGGATTCTATTTTTCCAGAAGAAAATCCCTGCTAGAAATGGGAATAAATTAATTCCGTGGTCCGCAATGGTTCCTACCACTAACTTCACCGTGTGAAGATTCAATTCATGAATAAACTGAAGAGGAACTATTATCATCGACCAATAAGAGAAAGTCAAATCGTTTACGATCAGAATGTTTTCAAGGAAATCTTCTACTCATATGGTTGGTAGGTTGAGAAAGACCCCATCGAAAAATAAGGGGTTCTTGTAGAAATACTGAGTTGTATTTAGTTCTCCTCAGTTTCACAAACTATCACATCTTCGTAACCCTTAGTAACTCGAGAAGAGAACAAAATTTAGCCTTAGTCCTAATATAACACACTTAGCACAGATGGTAATAAGTGTCAGCTGCAGAAGGTCTTATCAGGAGGGCCTACACTGGTAAAGGAAGAAATTATTGGAAAGAGTTTAAAAATAAACCAGTCTGAAGAAGTGCCGTTGGAACATGTGTGACTACAATGACACGATAATAATCTTAATAAACAAAGATGAGATTTTAACTTATTATTTTCTGTCTAATCCTTTTAATGGCAGGGTATATTGCGAAATATAACTTCAATGATGCTGAGATATTTGCAAAACTCCGGACCGCAGGTGTATACGGTGGGGAACGACCGCGCTATTGTCATTATAACTACGGCCACAGCTGTCATTGTCATTTGTCGCTATATAGGAACAAATCACCTGTATCACTTGTAGTCTCGTTGAATGTCGAGTGATACGAGCGGGCGCCAGTGAATCTTCCATTTTTCCCTGTCGCCTGCAAGAGTAGCCCAGTGGGTTCTGCTTGTTCTAGGGACTCGTCGAGCATCGTATTTTTCTTCAAGCTTCTTTGCGAAGAACTCTAACCATCGGGTCGGTGGTCTTCCTGCTGCACGTTTGACACTCCAAGGAATCCAGTCACTAACGGCTCTTGTCCATCGATTGTCACTCATACGCATTACGTGTCCGACCCACCTTATCTTCGACTGTTTGGCGTACAGAACGGCATCTTTGATTTTTGATTGTTGACGCAGATAGGAGCTTCGGATCCCATCCCTTACTTGTGTGGAACGGGATACTCATAGCATCGTACTTTCGACCGCGCGATCAATATGGCTCAGTGATTATTCATCTCGTTTACGCAGCGACCAGGTGTCTAACGCATACGTTAACACAGGAAGTACTGCTGAGTTGAAAAGGTGGGCACGGAGTCGGGTGTTCTTTGTCCTCTTCACTACATCCTCGATGCTCTTGAAAGCTTCCCAGGGCGGTCGTTTCCTTCCGCCCAACCCTGGAGCTAAGTCGTTCATCATATTGATTTCCCGACCTAGACAGATATAACTGGAGCACTCGGAGATATTCGTTTCGATGAGCGTGAATGGGGCATGCGAAGCCAATCCGTTCTTCATGAACATTGTTTTTGTGAGATTTAGTCGAAGACCAACCTTTCCGCAGGCTTTATCAAAGTCGTCAAGCATACGTTCCGCTTGGCTAATGTTTGGTATTATAAGGACGATGTCATCAGCAAGGCAAAGATGATTTAATTGTCGACCGTCGATTTTCACTCCCACATTATGCCATTTCAATGATCGCATGATGTTCTCGAGGGTGGCGGTAAATAATTTTGGGGAGATGGTATCGCCTTGCCTAAACCCTCTTCTGACTTCGGTGTTAATATCGTCGTAAATGGTGATATTTTCGTTGCGAAATTTTTGTAAAGCTCAAGAAGATTCTTTATATAGTGAGTAGGGACTCCTTAACTATCAAGGGCTTCCATGACTTGTTCTATCTCGATTGAATCAAAGGCATTCTTCGAATCGATAAAAGTGAGACGGTCTTTTGTACTATCGCGACACTTCAATGAGTCTTGTTATCGTGTGGATGTGGTCCATCGTACTAAATCCTTTTCGAAACCCTGCTTGCTCACATGGCTGCCCATCGTCCAATGTTCTGTTAATCCTGTTTACTCGAGATGACTCGAGTGAAAGTTTGTAGACGACAGACAGGAAAACGATTGAGTGATAGTTGTCGATATCGTGGAGATCACAATTCTTGAATATTCGCACGGTTTTCGCTGGCCTTCTATTAAGTAGTGACCCTGCATTCAGGTAACGTGTGAAGAACCGAGCCAATGTGTTTACAAGGACTGGAGGAAGTTTCTTCAGGTGTTCTGGTCTTATCCTGTCCGGACCTGGATCCACGGTGTTCATGGACAAACTCGTGTTGACGAAAACACCTACCCGGCCGACTCCTCTACTGGCGCATGTTCCACGGAACAGTTCTTCTCCGGTATCATAGACGGCGTTGAATGGGTGGCGTCATCTCATTTCGGCCAGGCCGATAACGTCGCACCCTATTCTTCTCGCTTGCACGATCAAGTCTTCTATCGTGATAAAGCCTGTGGAAAGATGCTCAACCGAACGAATATCTCTGAATGCTCTAGTTATTCCTATTTAGGTCGGGAAATGAACATAATAAACGACTTAACGTATGGAAATCTGGCCACTGCGTAAGCACGATGAAAGATCAGTGAGCGTTATTCAACGCGCAATCGAAAGGACGATGCGGGGAGTATCCCGTTCCACACAAGTTAGGGATGGGATCCGAAGCTCCGATCTGCGCCAACGATCAAAAATCAAAGATGTCGTTCCGTACGCCAAACAGTCGAAGATAAGGTGGGTCGGGCACATAATGCGTATGAATGTCAACCGATCGACAGGAGCTGTAAGTTATTGGATTCTTCGGGATGCTAAACGCACTGCAGGAAGACCACCGACCCGATGGTCAGAGTTCTTCACGAAGAGCATAGAAGAAAGGCATGATGCTCGACGAGTCCCTAGAACGAGCAGAACCCACTGGACTACCCTTGCACGCAACGGGGAAAATGGAAGATTTACTGGTGCCAGCTCTAGTCACTCGGCCATTGACGGGACTACAGGTGGTACAGGTGATAGATTTGTCATGGGGAGGATGGCACAGTGGCAGTGATGTCGGGTACTACGAGCATGGTGCTAGTTCGATTCCGCTCCCAGCGAACTAAGTCACTCGTCACTCAGCGGTCGGGAAATTGGTACCGGACTTATCTGAGAAAAAAATCACTCTGTTGGGAACGCTCTAGCCCGGTAATCTCAAGATTCCAGGGGGAAATTTTCGGCTAGGATTCTACGAGATTCAAGACGAAACGAAAGTCCTCAAGATGCAACTGAATCCACACGTAGAAACTTGTAAGACCTTCGTGGACGATGGATACGAGGAAACGAAATGGAGGTGAGAAGTGCAGGTATCCGCACAGTAAACGTGAAAATGAATCAAAAAAAAAAATAAAAATTAAAAAAAATAGATCTATGTCGCGTGTAGCACAGCGGTCGGAGGCGCCCTGCAATACATATCGAATCAATCCCGACGCCCATGGCCCACCAAGTCCTCCATCACTCTGGGTTCGGCAAATTGGTACGAGACTGTCTTGGAGGATAGCAGCAATGGCTCCATACATCGACAGGCGACCGCGAGTCGTTGTAAAGGCCAAATATTCACCTCTAAACGATGGTTAATGAAGTCGAATGCATGGTACATCCAAAAGGGATAGGTCCAAGACGGAGGCTTTATCCTTTATCCTCTAGCTTCAGTTATTGGATTTTTCTGTGCTTTAAACCGTCACCAACGAAGCGCAACACGATTAAGTAAAGCACTGGATAAAAAACCAAGAATGCAACTGAGTGGTTTTTTTTTTGGTTTTTGATCGGTAAACTAGTTCTAAAGGATTTCGAAATTTAGGTAGTTCGCGAGATCTGATTCCGGGTCGAGCAAGCGTTTGGGCTAAAACGTAGTGAAGGTAGAGAACTCTGGATTGATTTATGATGCAACTAGAAATGAATGTACCGCAATGATCTGACATGACTTTTATCCTCATACCCAATAATTCATGTGTTGATTTATGAATGACGCCGAACTTCATGCTTGCAAAAATCTCCTCGGATATTAACAAACCGAATGGACAGTTTGAATTAGCGAACAGATACGAAGATGTGATGAAGTTTTCGAGCGATTTACCGATTCATGAAGTCTCACGTTGTGATCGAAATTCGCCACAGAGCTCCTCCGCTTAAATTTCTTAATATTTTTTAGACATGTGGAATAGTAATGACAGTAGGGGTGGATAGAACAGTGATAGTAATGTCGGTTATCACAAGCATGATGCTAGTTCGATTTCGCTCCTGGTCAACCAAGCCTCTCATCTATCCAGGTTCGGGAAATTGGTACCAGACTTGTCTGGGAAAAAACCACTCTCTGCAATCCAATTGGGAACGCTCGAGCCCGGTGATCTCAAAGCTCCAGGGAGAATTGCTCGACCCTAAATTGAATTCTACGACATTCAAAATGAAATTAAAATCCTCAAGCAGCAACCGAGGCCATACATAAAACTTGGAAGACCTTCGTAGACGATGGATGCGAGGAAACGAATCGAATGTGAGAAATGCTGCTGGGATCTGCACAGTAGACATGAAGACGGATCAAATAGAAATATATATGTATATATATATATATGTACACATGCACGTATATGTATATACATGTGTGTGTGGATGCATACATATACATGTATGGTTACGAAGATCTATTTGGACAACCTGTTAAGATAGGACAGCGGTGCCCACGATCATACGATTTTCAAGATAAGCTGCGAAAAGCTTACACGAAGCGGTATCATAAACGTTGTTAGACGGTCGGCATCCCCTGGTTTTGTCCAGTCCGGCAATCTACGTTCACTTTTCTTTTTTGATACGCTCGTCTCGATACGATGATAAAGATACTACATCGAGAGTGCGAAGAACTGTGTACATCGACTCGGAACATCGACGTTAAGGAAGGCGAAGGCGTCGAAACATTAGCCGAATGAACATGTGGTAACGACTTCGTGTTAGCTTATCAAAGAAATAAGGTGTAAGTAGAAACATATTTCATTTCCTAGCTTTGCACCATCTGACCCTTAACGAAGGTTCTCATGCTCGCGCGTACATTATGAGTACAAATTTTGTCATGTTTAGGCAGCTTACAACGCTAGTTAGTTACCAGCAACATTTCCTGAACTACTTCAAAGACCCATTATGGAGATACATCACTGTCAGTATTTAGAAGTATTTCGCACCGCACGTTAAGGCTGTTTCGGTGTTTTCTATATCCGCACATTCCATACAACAACCATAGTGATCAAAAAGTAATCGCAGTTAATTGTCAGTCAAATTACCCGCCAATGAACACTTCGAAAAAAGATTCCTTGTAAACTATTAAGCGTGGAGGATAGTTTTCCTGATCCCGACCCTACTATTTGGACCACCATCAATTAGCTATCGAATGAACAAACATAGAGCGGTAAACGCATTCTGGAACACATTAAGCATAATATGAACACCTTAGTATACTGTCCCCTGGTCCGGATGCGCATGGACACTATAGTTTCCATAACGGGCGTTATGAGTTAAACGGGTCACATTAAAAAATTTCGACAAGGAAGGGATGTGAAGAAGTCAAATATTCTAGAAATTTCATACAGAAATTATGAAACACCGACCACACTTTCCCTCCGATAGCTGTCAAAACTTCCTGGAACGACTTCTAGTTGAGGACATAGTTTCTTCGCAATAAAACCAGGCATAGCTGCCCGGACCCCAAATCGACGAGCTAGGTAGTTCGACGTGCTCTGAAGAAATCATTAATTTTATATCACGTTCATAAACACTGAGGATGAGGTTATCAATAAAATAACCTTCTTTTGGTTATGCTACAGCTGAAATCGGCAACAATACATTGCCCTACTGAATTTATTGCTAAAACAACCAAGTATAGGGGAAGCGAAAGCAGAAGTATTATAACATTATGCTACATGAAAGTAAAGCATAATTTGCAGCGATAGGCGTCCCTAATAATGACAATGGATCTTAACATGTCATACACTTAAGAACAAAAGTGAGGAGTAACTTCAGACGTTGATACATTCGTAACGATTCCGATTTATCTCAATGCAACTTCTTATCTATGGTTTATTCCGCCACACCGGACTTTTTGCAGTGAACCGACAGAATGCCTGTTATTAACGCTGTGCCAAATATGGTCCAGGGATGGTGGTATTCTTATAACTCAAAAAAGTCGCCTTCGAATAAGTTTTCTCGACACAAAACTACGGCTTGTTGATGAAGAGGGTAGAAAGATGCGGTTGCCGCATAAAAGCAAGCGCATGAGTTCCGCGAAGACTAGTAGCCTTTCGTGCTGATAAATTAAAGAATGTCGTTAGTGAGAAAGGTACTTGATTTCTTTCCTAGGGAGTAAAAAAGCACAGCGAACAATGAGTACTGACGAGAAATCAGCCATCGTTCATACTGCATGAAGTGGTGACGAAACACTTGACATTTGATGTGCCTTACCAACATTGCCGACGAACCGACAGCCATTGGCACCGTTCGAAGACGAGGTTCGTCACGCATTTCAACAGCTGCGAAATATGCATCCATATCGATATGAACGCAGTCTCGACGTAAATCTCGTGTACACTCCAATCGTGCCGCAAGTTCATCCATCTATAAAGGATAAAAACGATTCGTAGACATGACTGATTGTATTCTTGGTCTATACAATAACTTTCCCTACGGATGTATCAAGTTAATGTTTCTACTTTTCCAGACCTTTCCATAGATCACGATAGAGATAACGGTTCATTTCACCCGAGGTCCTTAATGCGTACGGCAAGGTAGACATAAGTTAAGGGCTATAAGCGCCTGAATACATTCATATACATCAGTGATTGAAAAGTAACTGCTATTCTTAAAGCTGTTATTTCTTTTTCAACCAGTGCTTTTGTAAGAGAGGAATGTGAGGAGGCGTTTAGTACAGTGTTTTATCCAAAATTCGGTTTGAGCACCAGCACTCGCCACTACTCAACCGGCCTGAATACCGCCTCAATTGATTTCCTTGCCTTTGAAGTTCTCTCATGGTCGTTGGTTAGTCAGCGCAGACGTGTTCCTTTAACAAACCCCCTAAAAAAAAGTCGAAGCGTGCTAAGCCGGGACATCTGTGTGGTCAACATGCAAATCACGGAGACCCATCCAGTGAGCATTCACAAACAACTATAGCAAAATATAGGCGTACGCCATCCTGCATAGAAATCAAATTTTCAACATTCTCCGAAGGAATAATAACCGCCTAGATTTCATCCTGTAGCACAACCAGGTACTTTTCGCCATCCACAGCATCGCCGAGGGTACAAGGATCCACACTTCAGTCCGCAACCATTTCACACCATACCTTTACCTTCAGCAGATACTACACTTGTTCAGAGACAACATGAGGATCTTCTCCTGGCCGGTAGTGACAGCAGTGGTGGTTCACAAACCAAACGATGTGGAATAACGTATCTGGGCACGCTCTTGCAGAGTGAGAGCAGCAATCATGACTGTAGACCCTTCATATTTCAAACAAAATAATCGATTTGAAAAAAAAAACGACGACGAAGATTCAAGAAAAAATCTGAGGATAATATCAGAACATACAAGTTCACTGTGTAAGCAGTTACTTTCTAGTCACTCTGTATACAATTTTTAGTTATTTCAATAACCGTTGTCTGGTCAAAAGTATTACTGAAAACACCACCCCTGATTAAATAAAGCATTGTTTCCTTTGCTGACTTTAGTTTACTCATAATTTCTGCGCTACTTTGACAAAAGCATAAGGCATGGCGAAGTGATCCTACACAATCAAAGACCTACAGTTCCGATCGGCATAAAACAACATGGTTCGTTTACAACGAAACCACTTCGACACGCAGCTAAGTTCTCTCTTTACTATAGTTACCTCTTCACTTTTATTTGCTAATGATTTTACACAGCATAACATCGGTATTTCAAAAATAAGTGACTCTCCTCTGTGAGATCGAACAGTCTCCAGAAATAATCCAACAAGAAATACTCGACCTTACAGCAAACCTAACTAAAAAAACATATTTGAAAGGAGCGAACCTCCTTCTCAGCTTTCGCCCACCTAACTGGCGATACTGCTTCTAGGCACTTCTTGATAGCAGCAGTTCTGTTAATGATTCTTTCCTGTTGCTTCTTGGAAAAATTAAAATAGTTTACACTTGTGTTTGACTCAATAACCCTAGTTATCCACTCTTTGTCCAGTCCACTCATCCCAGCCTTATTATCATTAAAGTTTAACATCTGAAAGTAACGCACTGTATGCAATCTGAACCTCAGGAACGAAAAGTATCTTCCAGAAATGGTCCAAAACTCACTTAATTCCTCATAAGATTCAGTTATTAACAGCTTCAAAATTTACTCTTAAAAATACTAAATGTTAAACATCGCTAATGCAAAGCACAAATAATTGGCTCTAAATAAGCGGTGTATTTATATCTGTGGAGATCGTCAGACGCTAATACAGCAACAGTAAGATAGGAAACATGAATCAAAAGTGAAGACTTACAGAAGCAAAGATAAGATCCAAACTTCGCAGAAAATTCATAGAGAAATGTTAAAAACGAACGACACTATCCTGATTAAAAATTCTATCACCGACCACTTGGAAACATAACTAGCTACTCTGTCTTTTATAAACCTCTTCGTAGCTTTAACTGCATTTAGATTCTCTGCATTTCCTTCATACTCTCCACCACTACTGTTTTCCTTGGTCTCCCACGCTTACGCTTCGAAAGGCCATTGCCGTTAGAAACCTGTTGCAACGTTTTATTTAAAAGAATAGTCTGAAAACATTCTCCGTATAAAACCAATCATTATGAGCTCTTTAAAAAAGGCAACAAACATCTAAGTATGCGTACCTTTCTCACATTTGCAGCTTGTTGAATATCTGGTACGGTCGTTCGATGAACACCTTTATCAACGGATATTTCTGCGTCTCCCATAGATTCATTACCATGCTGAATTCAGTGGATTGTAACAGATGCTGCACAGGGGTTTCATGGAGCTTTCCATTTTGACTACATATCGAAATCCCATTCACGAAATCTAGCAACGGTTTATCGCCTCGCCGTGCCTGCTAGGTGTTCCTGGGTGTCAGACCGCACATGTATAGCGGGAGATTCACCTTTTGGCAGGATCCCCCAAGCTGATAAAGAGTACGGCGTTTCCATCAGGAAGCTCAGTTAAGAATAAACCAATACCAGGATCCACCACCGTCCTGGAATCAAAATCGCATGGTGGCAAATCTTCTTCTGAGCCACAAGGGTTGCGACTGCCTGTGGTGGTCAATACCTGGAGCAGATTTTGGATAGGATAAGATCGGGACTCCAGGGAACCAAATGGCTAAAGCAGCAAAATGGCGAAAAATGGAAATTAAGCTAGGACCCACATAGCCGGTGAAGATGGGCTATCCAAGTATTATGTCTCACATATCTACAATAGAATTGACGAACTGAGAGCTCTAAAAGCCATTCCGAAATGAAAGCGAAAACAATTTTTCCGGAAAGAATGATTTAACGCAAACAATTAGTAAAGGAAGAGTTTGCAAATAATTTTTCTAAATCTTACTTCTGATGTAAGCGGGGACACATCAACACTGCCTTCGGAGTCCATTTCGAAATCGTAAACATCAGAACTTCCAGCAGCAAACGCCGACCTGTGTTTCTTCGCTGAACGAGGTAAAACTCGTCTTTTACTTGTATCCGACTCTTTTCCAGAAGCTGCCAAAATGCGATACAGTCGATCTTTCCTAGAAGGTCTTCCACGCTTCTCCTTTTGAGGGGATCGGTTAAAAACTAGATCCATAACCTAAAATTATGCCCATTATAAATAAGTTACTTTTAAATAACAACTTTTATATAATGTCTTTTTTTTTCATAGCACTGAACGTGTTCCCCTGATCATTTCCGTTGACGGTGGATTGCTGACAGTACCCAGAGAGTAGAAA